CAAAGCAGAAGCATTTTGTTATTTTAAATGAATAGATAGTTTTATTGCCATTAATGAAATGTCTAGGTCTGCATGCTGAGATAATAACATGAAGTAATCAAATCTCATGCTTCAAGGCATAAACTGATTGACTGTGAGGGTCAGGAATTATTTCTCCCGTTCTGTAAAGAATTGAACAATGGCCTGATAAATTACGAAGGCTTATTCATTTGTCTGAGGGGTACGCTATCCTGGCCCTCCGGGTGGTGAGAAACGGAGCAAAGCCGGAGCGTTTGTTTGATTCAGTGTGACATAACTGTGCTTCCCCTCTCGGCGGGATGTCACCGGGCTGTGAATCCTGCGAGGGAACGTGTCGCTCCCGCCACGGCGTTCCTGGTGCTGTTGGCTCCGGCGTCGCCAGCGCGTGTCCCGGGGCAGGCCGAGGAGTCCCTCGGGATTTCTGCTGCCCCTCGAGGTAGATTGAGGCTGACGGTGACCAGCGTGGGATTTACTCTCTGCACCTTTCCCCGAGGTGCAGGGCAGTAACGATGGATGGTTACGCTGGATGCTTCGGCGTAGCCACGGGCGCAGCGGTAGCGAGGGGGCCTCGTCTTCACCAGCTCAGTGGGAGTTTCGGTGCCCAAAACCCCATGGTAAGCGTGACACCCCTGGGTACGAGTGGTCACGCACAGCACAGACGGCGTTTAACGCCGCGGAGAAACCTCCCTGGGCTCTGACATCTCCCTGCGCTGGAGATAGGCAAGGTCAGCGAGAGATGCGTTTTCACGATCCTTTTAAAGGAAGGAAGGGAACAAAAGGTAGTGAAAGCACAGCAGAGTTGGGCGCGGGGGGAGCGTGTTAAGATGCCGCGATTCAGCCGAGCGTTTTGGAGCATCATTGCGCGTGCCCAGCTGGCAGCGTCCGTGCACCCGAGAAGCGCCCTGCGCTGCGCGGAGCTCATGCCCCGTACCCGAGCGGCCGGGGGGCGGCCGGCAGGGAACCTCGCTTCCACGCGGGGCTCTTCCCCCAAAGCAGCGCGTAACGCGCGGTGCGCCGCGGCGCTCTCCGATGAAAGCAAGAGAGTCGGGGGGGC